CAACAGGAAGAGCTGCGGCAGCTTCCAGCGCCTGAAGCAAGGGCTGTCTTTGTGCTGGCTGTGGTACTCGTAGCAGCCTGAGAGGTGCTGTTGTGGCAAGGTGAAGATGTACACCAAGGCCCCTGCACCGGAGGCAACTTTGTTTTTCACCTCTTGAGGTCTGGTCCGCAGCACGTGCAAGGGAGCGGTCTCAGACCCCAGTTGCCACTCCTTGAGGTCTTTGAAGTCGCAATGGGCACAAATTCTTAGCGAAGCTCAGAAACCACTCTGTTGAGTGCGAGAACTGCCGGCAGCGGTCGCTGAACCAGTATCTCACCTCATTGTCATCGGAAAAGGGAACGAAATACTGTTGAAACAATCCCCTTTCCTCCTGTTCCCGCGGTATTCACCACTTTGTCTGCGATCTTCGCTGGCTCACTCACGCACAGTCGCACGCACTCGCTCACTCACGCACTCCCTCCTTCTACTCACTCATGCACTCGCCCGCTCACTCATGCACTCACGAACTCACTCACTCAATCACTCCCTGACTCACTCACTCATTCAGAAACTCATTCACTCGACTCGAGCACTCACGATGTCACGCACTCACGCATTCATGGACTCACTCACTCACTCCCGCACTCCCGCACTCACTCACTCGCTCGATCTCGCTCACTCACTGACTCACCCCATTTATTCATTCATGCACTCGCTCGCTCGCTCTCTCATGCACGCACTCACTCACTCTCTCCCTCAGTTTACTCACTCACGCACTCGCTTTGCTCGCTCACTGATTCACGCACGAACTCACTCACTCACTCGCTCGCTCGCTCGCTCGCTCACTCGCACTTACGCACTCACGCACTCACTGACTCCCGCACTCCCACACTCACTCACTCGCTCACTCTCACTCACTCGCTCGCTCGCTCACACGCTAACTCACTAACTCACTCGCTCACTCACTCACTCATTCGCGTACTTCCGCACTCACTCACTCGCGCACTCGCGCACTCACTCACTCGCTCATTCGCTCTTTCACTCACTCACTCACTCACTCACTCACTCACGCCATGTACTCACTCAAGCACTGACTCGCTTGCTCACGAACTAACTCACTCACTCACCCAATCAGACACGCAATCACTCAATCACTCAACAACTCCATGACTGACACACCAGTCATTCACCCACTCACTCACTCACTCACTCTTCCACTCACTCACTGTTCCACTCACGCACTCAAGCACTCACACCCTCACTCACGCACGCCTCCCGCGCTTACTCACTCCCTCCATTTACTCACTCACGCACTCGCTCGCTCGCTCATGCACAAACTCACTCACTCACTCACTCACTCACTCACTCACACTCACTCACTCTCACTTTCAATCTCACTCTCACTGTCATTCATTCTCTCTCACTCACTCACTCACTCACTCACTCACTAGTTTTTTTCAACCCAGGCTCTGATCATCAGCTGGGAAGTCGGACACACACGTGCTCACTAGCTAACTCCGAAACGAAGCACCCCTGCTGCAAGATCGCCTCCGCAAAATCTCAAAACTCCCTTCCAAGTGCAGTCCCAGAAACTCAAGAACTGGCAGCCTTGCCCTGATCGCCTCCAGCCACTGCTCTCCCGCTTGTCCACCGCGAGCTTGGACCCAAGATGTTGGTAGCAAGTACAAGTGTCCACCGGCGACTTGAACAACGTCTGAATCGCTCCATTCGTCCGAAAGCCGCCTTTGCTTTGATCTTGCGGCCGCCCGTCTCCGACGAGCGCGTCTCGTGGACGACTGCTTTTTGTGCAGCTGTACTCGTGATCCCTGGCCGAGGTTCTCCTGCAGCATCTCGAAGGTGCCTGTGGGCTCGTAAGCATCGCCGCTGGCAAGTGGTCCACCCTTCGGGGCATGAAGAGCCCAGCGGCACCAGAGGGCCTGTAGACCTGTCTGCTGAAGACCTCGTAGATCACTTTAAAGTCGCAGTCCTCGCCGTGTCTTGTCCGGAAAGGGCGCGGATGCGACTATGCACCTCGGTGAAGTATGTTCGCACGTCCTCCATCTGATAGCCAATGCATACCTGCCGCTTTGTCCCTGGATGTCCTTGGAATGGCGGGAGGCTCGCGGGCGGCGTGGAAGATGAAGCAGGCGCACTCGGCGCGGAAGAGGATGCCGGTGCGTCGGTATGCCCACACCATGAAGTCCAAGTTCGCCGCCAAGTTCCCCTCCCGTGTCCAGAACTGCTTCCACGTGGAGGTGTGTGAACTCGCCAGATCGCAGAACATCCAGAACTCCTGCGAACGCCGGGCTCACGCAACTTGTCCACCACCTCGCAACGGGCCTTCTCCATGATATTGTCTGGGCCTACAAACTGCACAAGATTGTTGCTTGTGTCCAGGTCCTTGCGGTCTTTGTCTCGGATGATCTCGGATGACCCAGAGTCCTTCGCCGGACTTCATCAGGAAGTGCCGAGGCGCCTGCCAGCGCTTGAAGCAAGGGCTCTTGTTGTACTCGCCGAAGTATTCGTAGCATCCAGAAAAGTCTTTGAGCTGTTGCTGGAAGGTGAGGATATACAAAGCGAGGCCTTTAGCACAGGCAACCGTGTTTTTCTTCTTTGGCCGACTTATGGGGAAGACCGCGTACTGGTGCAATCACACTGCCAATTTCCACGTTCCAGTGCTTCAGGTCCGGCGACGTTGCAACCGGAACCAACCGCTGCTTGGTGTGGCTTATCACCCACATGTTCCCTTTTGTGCACGGAAGAAGAAGTGAAGTTTCTGCGGTTCGTTCCTATATTAACCGGCTTCATCGGGAACATCCGGACCACCTGGAACCGACGACGATCTTCGAAGGTCGTCCTCAGAACGTTCGCCATGGCAGATAGGTGGCCTCTTCTAATTTGGGTGTGGTTTGAGAGGATGCACCGGCTTCACCCCACCCGCATCCACAACCACAAAGCAACCATCAAGCCGAACCTCCGGAAACGCCCCGACCTCAGATGCCAAAAACCGAAACCCCACCTCCCCCTTCCCTCCTTGGCCCCGGGCCGGTGCCGGCCCAGGGCTTCGGTGCGGCGCCCTGCGTCGCCCGTTGGGAGGCCCGCTTTCGACGCAGCCGCCGGGCGGCGCTGGTGCTGAGCTTGGCCTTGGGGGGAAGGCTCAGGGGCTCAGCGAGCTGTACTGCAGCATCTGGGCACATGCGCTCCTCGCCTTTTGCAGCCCTGGGATCTACGCTAGGCTATAGAGTGGCCAGCTGATGCTTTATGGTTCCTGTCGGTGTCTGCGACGAAAGCCGCGCCTGAATGCCCAAACTTTTTTGGTTTGCCTGCTCTTTGCCATGGGGCAAAACTCTGGCGGGGGCCAAAGTTCCACAAATTTTCTTTTTGTTCTAGATGAACACTATCCTTTTTCGCACTTGGTCATTTGAAGCAGTGCTTCGTTGTTCAGCCTTCCGGCATGTTAGGCAACCTGACAGGCTGTATATCCATCTCCAGAGATCGGCGTTCAATGGCTAGCTACGGCTAGTTCTTGGCATGGCGGAGAAAAGGAGTGCGTATGTTCGGGTGGTCCAGGAGGCGGGGACATCCCGAAACGGAGGAGGTAGAGACGGGTTATCGGGTTATCCGACAACAGTCTGTCCAAATCCTGTGAGCACTATTACACTACTTCTATCAGCGGCAATGTGGTCCCATGTTCATTTTCTTGCTAAGCTCTTTTTAGATCCCAGATCGGCAGAGGCCCCAATAGTCCCTTGCGCCTGCAAAGTTTCTGACAGCCAAGGCTCGAGACCCTCGTGGTGCTCAGCCTCCGAGGCAGTGTCGGGAGGAGATGGCAGCTCTCTCCTTGCACCAAGGGGTCGGCGAGGAATTCAACTCTGGGAGTCCATGTCGCGGGGCGGAGGGTTTGCGGGCTTTAGGTAAGGCAGTTTAAGGGTTTGGGGCAACTGGTAGGCAACATTTGTCCCGCAAACTGAATTTCGTGTGGTGTGGCGAAGCGAACTAACAGCAATGTCTAGTATCTTCTAGTCTTATGAACAGAACCAAAACATGCTGGAGTAACCCCCGCAAACCCCAACACGCAACAAGAGCTCGACAAAGAAAACACAAATGCAACAGTAACGGGGACAATATGCACCTGTGTTTCGTATTGAACAGTGCTTTGATTTTGCCTCAAGAGTGCGGGACGAGCTCTACTGAACCCTGCTGTACAGGCTGCTCTCGGCTTCGTACTCGCGCTACCGGGGCTCGCAGCGGCACCATGTTCATCTTCACCTTGGAGGCCGGTGATCTACGATTTCAGGATCCAGAGCTTGGCTTCCGCCTGTGAGAGCCTACCTGGTACAGTTTTGCCACATAAGAGAGGAAGCAAGTCGCCGTTGCGCTGGCACCCCAGAATTTCTCGCTTCACCCCTTTGCAAACGACAGCTGTGGGCTCCGGGTACCTTGTTTCCCTTAGTACAGGCCAAGCAGTTAAACCCAACCCCAAACTTTGATGTGGGATCCAACATCGTGTCTGCCACCTGGAACTATCCAAGAGGGAAGGAGCTGGGACGAAAGCAGCTTGAGAAACTTTAAGGTCGGGTATTCGTCTGTGAAGGCGTCGTGCCTCGAGCACAGGGACGAGATTGAGAGTTCTGTTAAGATGACAAGAACCCTTGATGCCTGTACAGATTTCGCATAGATCTTGAACCTGTAAATGCTACGACGATTGTTGCCGGAGGTACTCCTACTCTACCCTCGTGTTTTCGCTGTGCTCCTGTCATTGCAATCTTTGTCGCTGCTGCTCTGCTGCAAAGATCACAGTTCTACGCCTGTGCCGAGACCTGGGCACCCTGTCACGACTGTCGCTGGTATATGTTACTGCTTCTCGTGTAAATACCGAGATGGCAATTCACCAGCAAACCACCCTCACGAGGAATGCGCACTTACGCAGGTCGCTCTGTGCCCTTTCCAAGCGTATAGAAGCCTGCCGTCATACAAGGAGTTCCACGTTCAGTCAGACAATAATGTCTTCGCACTGCGAGCAAGCTGCACTCCAACAGCACCCCAAACAGCTTGACCCCAATAGCCCACAAAGCCTACGTCCTAGGCATCAAAGGAGTTGCAAGTGAGAGGCTGCAGGTGCTGCTTCCGACCTCAAAAAGCCGCGGCTATGCGCGCACTTGGGGTTTTTGAGGCTTTACGGCCCGAGAACCTGGGCAGTATCCTTGGTTTCCGGGCTTCGGATGAGGGTGAAGAGAGTAGAACGAGGATGTTGAAACTCTGGCTAGACCACATACGGCCTGCTGGTGGGCTTCACCTAAGGAGTCATCACGCCCCGTTAAGCCCAACACTTTCATAGTTCCTGAGTTCCTGCAATGATCCCTCGATGCTCTGCCCACATGAGAACTTCTATGGACTACCGAGATATCTGACCGATCAAGACCAGCATGGCACGAGGCTTGCGGTAGGTCTTCGCTTCGGTGAGCTGACAGGATTAAGGGCTGCTGTTGCTCTTCTAAACGAAGAAACCAGTCTGTCGGACTCCTCGGTTGTAAGCCCCGCAGATATCCTGCTCCTTAAGATCATTTTCATGGCCTCGACGGTTGGAGCTGGATTTCCTAGACCTCATACTGACTGTTGCTAAGGTCGGCGCGCCAGGCGCGTGGAAAGGTTTCAGGACCGGGGTCATCTGCATGTTCGGGTGCATGATCTCCTGGCCGGTTGAAAACAGAGCATGAAGACATGGAGTCTTTCAAAAACCGAAACCCTGACGTCCAAACCCCAACCTAGAGCTCAATCTGCAGGTGATTTTCGTTTCGCAGTGGATTGGTTGAGTTGTTATAGTTAGAGACGGGGCGAGGCCCGGCTCAAAGCCAAACCCTCGATGCTGCTGACGATGAGGATGGGTAGGAGTGTTTGTTGTTTTGCTGTTGCTGCTTTTTTGCATTTGCTGCCGGGCGTTGTTTTGTTGCTGCATCTTTGTTTTTTGCTGTTGCTGCGTTTCGTTTTTTGGCGGTGATGTTGTTTTTGCTGCTGCTACCCAGGGGGCGTGTTTGTTTTTGTTGCTGTTGCTGCGGGGGGGGG